GCCTCTTAGACCAAAGGCCCGAAATGCGTTTGTGGTTGACTTTTCTTGATTTATCGCGATTTTTTTCTATTAAAAAATAGGGAGATTTCCATTAAAGGTTGTCCCAAAAAGTTCGTAAACATATTATGATTTATATTTTGCAAGTGTTTACGAACTTTTGGAACAACCTTGATAATAATGGTAACCTTGGTAAAATTATAACACAACTCTTATAGAAGAATGATTTGATCTCTTATGTTTTATCTATATCAAGGGTGTGGCCAAACAGCAGGTGGGCCAAGTTTCAGAATTACAAGATTGTCCTAAAAGTTCGTAAACACTTGCAAAATATAAATAATATTATAATATATTTATGAACTTTTGGAACAACCTTATATGTAGAATTATATTAGGTTATATATATATTAAAATATAAACATTAGGCCTCCAGGGAAAAAGTTACTTTTTTACAAATATTTTATTTATAAATATATCAAGCTTTCGGTTAAGAAAGCCCTTCTACAGGAAAAATATTTTGAACCGCCAATAGAAAAAGAATTAGTATTTCTTGCCCGAGAGCTAGAGGTATTTATAAATAAATGATTGGTAAAAATTTAACTTTTCTCTGGAGACCTAATGTTTGTATTTCAATATTGATTCAAGAAATTATTTTATCGAATTATATATATATGTTAGATAATAAAAAGGTATATATTGGATTTAATAAAATATTTTTTTTGCCAATATTTCGGTTGGCTGAACGCCAAACTTTTATCAAGGCATTACATTTTTGTATACACAAACTCAGCGCCGCATAGTATTATAATTACATAGTGTTATATAATATAATAGTATAATACCACTATGCGGCGCTGAGTTTGTGTATGCAAAAATGTAATGCCTTGATAAAGTTTGGCGTTCAGCCAACCGAAATTTTGACAAAAATAATTTTTTTATTAAATCCAATATATGCCTTTTTATTAAATATAGATTGCTCTATTTTCAACAATATATGTTATATCAGAATTTAATAAGTTAGGTTCAGATTATATTAGGTTAGGTTAGGTCAGAAGTTGCAGTAATCAACTCTAAACAAGGCAATCTGGGACAGCCACCTCCTTCCTGTGTTCTCAATCTTCGTATATTCAAAGATTGTATAACTAGACCTATATCCAAACAACAAACACTTTTATCTCAAAATACCTCTCTCTTTACAACCAATCGACACAATTTCCCTTGGGCATCATCCCCAAACAAAAAACAACTTTAAAAAAATAGCGTGGGTGTGTTTACACTAATTAAAAGTCTTTTTTCATAGAAAATTCTCTAGGCATTCGGGAAAATGATGTATAGTTCAGCTTATGTATGCTGTTAGAGGGGTTTAGTCTTCAATAAAGTTTTTGTTTATAGATCCATGAACCATTTTGGACTTAATAACCACAATCTATCTCTTATAATTGGCTGACGAACCGAATTTACTTTTTTTCGAAGTTAATCGTTAGAATTTGAATATCAAATTAAGGAATTATAATAATTTTCGATCGAAATTTTTATATATTCAGAATATAATTTTGCTTTAGTAAAAGAGAAAGGAAATACTGGTTAGGTTAAATTCTTTTTTTAACACCATCTCCTCAGCGGTGAAGCACGCGATCTACGTCTTCTTCGTAGATGTTGAAATACGTGGTGTCGCTGGAGACCCACTGGTGATTCTCCACCAAACTCTGCAGCGGCGGTATAGGCGCCATGTATATTGTAGATATATAAAATGAAAGGATTTAAAAGCACGAATGTTTCTTTTATACATAATACAAACTTCTACTGTCCTTATTGCGATGAAAAATATATTAGGAGGGCTTGGCTCATCAGTGGTGAACCCTCCCAGCGGTTTCGCCAATTTAATCCACCAGACCGCTTCTCAGAGCTCTAATACTGTATTGGACCATTCTGCTTATATACGCAGCACTGAAAGATGGAATCTCAGAAATGGTTTTCAGGAAAACTATGGACATAAGCTTATAGGACAGTAGAATTACATTTAAATATTTGCATCGAGCAATGCTCTTCCGCAAACAATAAAGACAAGGCCAGTTAGGCATAAATTAATACTAAGCAATATAGATTGCGCGTTATTGCTTAGTATTGTACATAGTTGTATTATTATAAACAATAGTGCAGACTTTGCACTTTTACATGTATTGACAAGATGTCAATAAAATTATGTTAATTATCAAATATCTTTCAGAGTAATATGTGATTAGCTTTAAACATTATAATAATAACAATGCTTATTACTGGTCTTATTACTGTTTTTATACTACATGTACCCTACATTTCTACTCGGAGAATATGTATACGACTAAAAGCCAGACACTATAGCCCAGGTTATATAAGTTCTTCTCTTACCTTACTTGTACTACTTTTTCACTAAACCGTCACTTTTTACTTTCCAATACAGTATCTTAAACCCTCACCAACCTCTGTTTCAACTGGTTTACAATATATAGCCTAACCAGACTAAAAGGTCTTATTAAAGCTTTTTGTTGTTGTTGTAATATCTTTCAGAGAGATTATTGTCTATATTATTATGCTGGAAGGTACAACTTCCTTAAGTGTTCTCCATGAATATATATCAAGAATCAATCATATATTCCTTTAAGGAAAACGGAAAGCTTCAAACATTGCTATTTGATATACAAAACACGTTATATGTAAATTGAGGAAAAAATAAACAGTAATTCACTTGTAGGATAAATAGTTTCTAAAACTGTACATAGATGACGCTGTTAATACAAACCTTAGCTAATTAGATATTATGCCTTTTTATTCTCAAACCTTTTTATGTTTATATTTATATATACATTTTTCTATTCCTAAAACTCTTTTTAGTTCTTAATTTAATTAATTTTTCTGTTAACTACCCACTTCCTTATATTTCAAAAGAATATGTACTTTGACTAAAATATATTCTCAAAACTGGGCAACTCTGTGCTTCACTTCCATCAATAATTGACAATATGACTCAGAATAAGTATATTGCTACGGCGTTTTATGGTTTCCACAAGTCCATATCTCAGAAGAAGGCCAAGTGACACTCACTTTCTTACTGCTACTCTTTTTGTGTTGTTTTTCTTGATTCCCTCTTTCTCTTTCTTGTTTTTTTTTTCTTCTGTCTATATCGTTCTTTCCTTTGTCTCACTGCTTTGTTCTTATGCATACCTCTGGTGAATCCTGTATAGGGTCAGTGACCCTAAATAAAGGCTTTTTGTTGTTGTTGTTGTTGACTAAAATATTTTAATAAACTTTTTCTCCCCTTGATTTCCACCGATCATCACCCTGTCCCCCTGATCCTCCTCTACATCCCGGCTCTCCTGGCCTCACCTGGCGATGATCCCCTGGCCACCCAGGCCCCTCCAAAAGTGCTTTATCTATATTCCGCTTTATGCGTCCATTGGGGCTCAAAAATCATTCATTTTGGTTAGCAGCTCTGTAAATAAAGATATTTCCGTTTAATAAACTAGTTATCTATTGGTGAATCGTGTTTGTGGTCATTTACCATAATACCACACACTGATAAACTGTAGCGGAGACCACGCTGGCAACTAAACAAAGTCTCCCACTCAGTGTCTACCTATTTCTACTGATGACTTCTGGGAAGCCAAATCTATTTTTCATCGCGGAATGACACCTTGATAACCATCAGCGTGACGCAACATTCTAAAAATTACTCCGCCAGACACTATAGCCCAGGTTATATAAGTTCTTCTCTTACCTTTCTTGTACTACTTTTTCACTCTAACGTCAACATATTATTGACTGTATTGACTCATCCATTGATGAGCTCTACTCTTCCCCGGCAGACACCATCAAAATTCTCAAGCTTTACAAGCTTGATACCTTAGTGTGATTGAGTGGAGATAAGAAAGAAGAAGAAGACTCAACCGTCACTTTTAAACTTTCCAATACAGTATCTTAAACCCCCCACCAACCTATTTCAACTGGTTTATAATATATAGCCTAACCGATAGCGTATGGAACGAGAAAGACCAACAGTCTAATACTGAGGATAATAAAGAAGCATATCTGGATATGAGCAAAATAGTACAAAAGTGGATTGGTACTTGGATCAGGTAGATAAATTAATAAAAAAGGTATTTCCTGTTCGTGTAACTTAAAGTTGCTGATAGCTTGCGCCATCTATCGGTTTAATATCAAATAATCGTTGATTTTTTAATTATTCCAGAATTTAACAAATAACGTGGTTAGCTTTTCTTGATTAATCAAAAAAACGGTATTTGGCAAGTTCTGGAATAATTAAAAATCAATAAATAGTTGATATTTATTTCGATAGATGGCGCAAGCCATCAGTAACTTTCAGTTGCACGATCGGTAAATGCCTTTTTTTCTTAATATCTGGATATATATATATATATGTGTGAAAATTTTTGAAAAAAAAAAAAATTCGAGAAATTACCTCCCCTCTCTTTTTTTATTAGTTGATCTCTATATATAATGTCCTTTGGGTGTCCATCTCTGTCATTCTATGAATTCGTCCAAAAAAACCCAATAATAAAAAAAATTGCATTGACATCGTGAGTAAGCAAGTAGAATTAAACATGAGGGTATAGGGTGGTGGCTCCCATCATCATATATATTAAGAAAACAGGTAGAGAGTTTAATAAAACAACATAATAATTTGATAATCAGTTTCTTCATATAAATTTATAATAGGTAGAAGAGTTAAACATTTGTTAATAAAACATATAGTATTGCATACTTACTTTAATACAATTTAACTTTAATAAGGTAAGAAAAAAAAAAACATTATAATGGTCTATGACTGGCGATCGTTCTAGATTGGTTTGTTTAAAAATTCTTTTTGTATAGAAATTTGAGTTTTTTTATAAATTGAAAAAGATGGATTAAACCCCGTGAAATATATTTTCCCCTCTTTTTTTTTATTCTCACAGATCCAGTTGTATGCTTTATTATTCTTATATAAATCCAAGTCCAAATAGTGGGTCAATGGTCAAGTGGTCAAAACCGTTGGTTTTTGACCATCACGACCCAGGATCGAATCCTGGATTGGATATTTTTTTTTTCTAATTAAAAAAATAAATGCTCCAATGACCATCTATTTTTTTCAAAAGTCCAACCCCCCTCCAGCGAATGCAAGTAACTAAATAACAACAACAAAAAAAAAAACCTTTATTTAGGGTCACTGACCCTATACAGGATTCACCAGAGGTATGCATAAGAACAAAGCAGTGAGACAAGTAACTAAATAGGGCTCTGGAAAACTTGTAAGTGCAAAATTCGAACTGTTTTTCACCTGTGTAGACATGTGGTGCACTTACAATAAAAGAAGTCGTTAACTTCTACCCACCATGATTATAATGGCCTTTACAACGTGTACTAGGGATAATTAAAAAAGTCGAAGATTGTCAATATATAGACAAGCATATATCTTACATCTCCTAAAGTTATCTGCACAGGATTGAGAAATTTGGAGGAAGAACATCTTGGATCTGAAGACTTAGGTCTGAAGGACAACCCGGGTAGTTAGCGACTTCTCCAGGAGAACCTAGGTTAACCTAATATAACCCTGTACTAACATAATGGTAAATTAAATTTAATTGCCATCTATCGTTAAAATTTTACACAAATAAATTTACTGGCAATGAGTTTCTTTTAAATATCATCAAATATTATCTCTACAGACCTTACTGCAATGATAAGAGTTATTGAATGAGAGGGCTTAGTTCATCAGTAGTGAATCCTCTCAGCGGTTTCTCCAAATTAATCTCTAGACCGCTCTACTATTGTATTGGATTGGTTTGGAATATACCCTGTATTTTCTATGGAAGACAGCTTGGGGTGTTTAGTGAACTAAATGATAGTAACATATAATGTTAAGATAAAACTTCAATAAAACTTGGGGAGAAAGGAATCAGTATAGTTCTAAATCTATTCGTATAACTGGTATCAGTTAATTCTACTAACACTCAATATACACTATCTTCAACAAAATTTCCAAAAAAAGAGAAAGAGGGATAAAACACATCCATTATAAACCATTAAAAAAAAATTCAAGCGTTTAAACGATAATAAAAAAAGAGATAATCATATATTTGATCATATAAAGGATGACAGCCTTCCTATTTGTATGCATGTAATAGCCACCATTGGTATGCCTGGTCACGTGACGCCATAGCTCTACTTTATGATGCTCATTCAGGAAACATTGCCCCCCTCCTCTTCTTCTCTAAAACCGGATATCTTTTGGTTCCTCTTTTCTCTTCTTTTGTGACGATGTCTTTATTTCTATAGAATGTTACCTCTTTGTTACTGCATCTTCACATTGACTGAAATATCGTGTAAATTGAATACAGCACAATGTCTATGAGAGGACACTCACACTAGAGGACACATCTCTACAAAGTACAGTTTTCATCTATCAAAATTACCATTATTATTAATAAGTAACTCTCCAGTAAGAGAACACCTCTCTCTAAAGGACACATTGGGACTCTAAGCCTTCCTTGCTGAAGACATTTGTACACAACTATATATTTAATTAAAAAGGCATATATTGGATCAAAATATCATTTATTTTACCAATATTTCAGCTGACTGAACACCAACCTTTATCAAGGTGTTATAACATTTTAAAGTCTGTCAACTACTAACAAAATGTTATAACACCTTGATAAAGGTTGGCGTTCAGCCAGCTGAAATATTGGTAAAATAAATGATTTTTTTTATCCAATATATGCCTTTTTAATTAAAGATTTATCTATGGATTGCTCTATTTTCAAAACAACTATATATATATATTCCCCTACACTTTATATGCACTTTTACTCTTTTATTTTTCCACCTTTGTAAAATTTGATTAAAAGAATCAATAAAATTGTTTAAATTGTCAAAAAAAAAAAATGTCTAAAGGACACATTTGATCTACAATTAGGTATCGTCCTTTACAGAAAGGTTTTGCTGTATATAACTAGGGCTTCTCTATATAGATAAAATATATTTTAAGACATTATTTGAAATCTGACAAAAATAGTAGAAAAGTGAAATTGCACTGGTAATAAAATAAGAAAAAAGCATCTCCTTATTGTGCAAATGAAAGTGGCTGATGGCTTGCGCCATCTATCGGAATAAATATCAATTATTCGTTGATTTTTAATTATTCCAGAATTGGCCAAATACTCACTCTTGATTAATAATGAAAAAAAGTTAACCACGTATGCGTTTCGGGGATTGGCCCTCGTCAGCATGGTGCAAGCTGTTATTTAAGCAATAGAAGTAAAATCGAACAATATAACACACAAAACACAGAAAAAGAGAAATATTAATTTATATTCTAAAGTTATTTTAAATTAAAGTTTGATAATAAAAAACTTTATATTATTATTTCCGTTAAAAATAAAAAAAAGTATATTTTTTGTCTTTAGTCAAAAAAAAAAAAAAAGATCGTCTGCCAAAAAATAAACAACCAATCAAAAGCGGCGAAATACAAGTCAGACGAATGACATTAATTTCCCTTAATAACAGCTTTTAGATGGAACTACAAATTGTAATTATATTATGAATAGAGAAAGTAGATGACTTTTGCTATTGAATTGTCTTTCTCTTTCTTTTTAGTTATTTCATTTAAAAAATTGATTATTTCATCAGGAAAACAGCAATTAAAGTTGGTTGACCCTAAATTCTTATTTATGTCACATTTTTTGTTGTTCGTTTTAATAAATATTTGGAGAGAAAAATGAACCTTTATTTCCTCAACATCTTTCATAAGAACATGACGAAATCTTTGGTTAATTTGAAAATTTCTTTCTCTCTCTCCCCGCATTTTATAAAGAAAGTACGGTCGAAATTGGATAATTCGAAGCTCAAGGAACCAAAAGAAACCCGAATTGTCCAAAAAATTCTAATTAAAAACGTTTTGAATAAAAGGTTTAAAAGTTTAGGGACCAAGATAATTGTCGAATTAAAGACGTTTTGGAATTAAAGACATTCGAATTATCCAAGTTCTACTGTATTCAAATAGACCAGTTTTTTTTTGGTCGTTGAGGTACAGCTTGCACCACGCTGATGAGGGCCAACAGCCCGAAACGTGTACGTGGTTAGCTTTTCTTGATTAATCAATAATGGGTATTTGGCCAATTGTGGAATAGTTACTATTCTCTATAGGTTTATTTTGTCTTAATTTGCATAAGTTGTGGTAATGTAACAATAATTCACAGATATAAATAAAAGCGATAAACACAGATAAAATGCGTTGCTTAATTCATTTTTTAAAAAAGCCATTTTTTTTATTGTCGTGTTTTCTACCTATATGCAATTTTAAACGAGGTATTATTAAAACTTTCAGATGAATTATAAAAAGTTTACAAACCTTATCTCTCCCGTCAACACAGAACTTACAAATCCAGATAAGGTGTGAATCATCATCCCATTCATCATTACACAATATAGCAGACGACTGCCTTCCTTCCTTCTAGATAAAGTTATTTATAAAACAATATCGTGATATACATGTGTGTGCAATATATATATTATATAACCTAAAAACTCAAATATTTCTATATTTTAAAAAATATATATTTTATTTTATTCATTGATAATTTTACTTTTGTTATCATCGTTTTTAGAAAGACTTTCCGTTTTTGTTGTATAGTTTTGTTGTAAATATGCGTAGTTAACATATCTATCCTTTTAAATCACTAATATAGGATTAACTTTATAAATTCTATATAATGTGAAAATAACTAATGTGTAATTTATCCTCAAGTAATTGAAAATAAAAGCTACTTGACGGTAAATAATTATCTTTTTTTAATCACGAATGCACCTCAACCCTTTATCTTATCGATCCTTTGTCTTATCAAGCCTTATCTAACAACAACAAAAATATTCATAACATATATATAATATTTTATCTGACTTGATTCATTTCTGTCTATCCATAAATTTTGTAATCAATTAGCACGTAGAAGTCTGAAATTGTGTACACTTATTCGAACCTGATGATAATTCAGGTTGACACATTTTCAGACTTCTGATTGGTCAGAGTGGTTGGGAACGGACTAATTTCTGAATTGTTTTTACAATTTTATAATTTAATTTTAATATGCTCCCAGGCCACATGGAAATCTTAAATTGTGAACACTCGCTCAGTCCGACTACCATTGCAGGTGTACACATTTTCAGACATCTGGCTGGTCGGGAAAACTGTTGGAAGTAGCGACTTGAATTCTTCAGTGATTATTCAAGACTTCATAGAAAGAAGAAATCCAAATATTCAGGTTCTTATCTGAAACCTCTTTGGAATTAAAAGCAAAAATCAGCTGAAGGAGTTAGCTAATGTTTAATTTTAAAAAGAATCTTACGTCTTTAAAATAGTTTCGAATTTTGATAACAGATGACGCGCCAGTGCATCATAAATATTTCTGTTTATCTGTTATAATATTGTAGCAAAGTATTTATTATATTTATGTACAGAGAGATTATTTATATATTGCTATTCAGGAAATTTTCCTCATTGCTTGTATCTTATAAATGTTGATTTTGTTTTTTTGGCCTTAAATAAAGTGCCGTGTCATTCTAGTCATTCTCTGTCATTCGCGCCTTTACAATATAATAAGGTGTGTTCACCTATATTCTGGGACCTCTAGGAGGGTCCTCCACTGATGAGCCAAGCCCTCTCAATATATTTTCATCGTAGTATGGACAGTAGAAGTTTATTTTTATGTGTAAAAGAAAAATTCGCGCTTTAATGCTTTCTTTACCCATATGTACACACATATACAGCTTTGTTAAGACCACCGGTCTTATACAGATTCACCGCAGGAAGGAAGCATAGATAGAGCTCCTATACTCCAGGTAACACAGAACCCAACAACAGCCTCCAGGTCCTACACATTTCCAGTGGCCACAGCGTACATATGTCAAGGTTAGCATATCACTGAAAAGACGAGTGTGGAATCAGTCGCGTTCCAATCTTTTCTTTCCTCATCCAAATGGACCATGACATTAGGCGAATCCATTAATCTCCTCCGAACGGTGACTGCGCCCTTGTAGAAT